AAGGAGGAGGATTGGCAATAGATGTTAGCTCAGAGCCGGTCTTCCTCAGCAAAAAAAGAGGAGGATTAGCACGGATATTAGCTCAGGGCTGATCTTCCTCACAAAAAAAAAAAAAAAAAAAGAAGGTAATGGAAAAGCCTGTGCCTGGAACATTGTCTTGAGGAATCACGCTCAGGAAGTCCAGGAAGAAAAGCAGAGCTTTAGAAACCTGCTCCATCAGATTAGGAGCAGTGCAAGAACGAGAACAAAGGAAGAGAGAGATTTTCTTAAGAGAAAGTTGACATCTTAGAAAACAACTGAGAGACAAATCTCCAGGGCATGGCCCCACAGGCTCATTTCCTCCCCACTTCCTGTAGCCTAGCAAAGAGCTGGCTCCGTGGGTCTTCCTCTCTTCAACAATAAAATGTTAGAAACTCAATGAGCCTTCTGGAAAAGGGCAGGAGAAAAGCAGAGAGAAAAATGCCAAAAGAGAAGTATCTCAAAGAAATGCTACTCCTCACCTGACACATCCAGAAGCTGAGGGCAGTATCTTGGGGAACACATGGCACAGGTCCCAATTCTCACTGGGTGTCTGGGGGAACAAACTTTAGAAGCAAGAAGAGCAGCTTCAGCTAAAAAATCGGCCGAGAGTGATTTCCAACTGAAACGTGTGGGTAAAGGACTCTCCCCCGAACCCCTTCAGGAGGCAGGTGTCCTGGGCCTGAGCACCTCCACAGCAGAAGACAGTGGCCACTGAGGACTGCTCACAGGGGGCTGGGAAGCTGTGTCATTAGAGCCCACCCTCAGTGCAGCCCTGGGTGCCAGAAACACAGGACCCAAAGAGAAATGGTATTAAGAAATTTGAATATGCTGGATGAAAAAGAAAGGCATCTCAAAGAAGACCTGGTTGGGGCTACCATACTGTAAATTAACACTGCAAGAAGGCAGCATCATCGTAAATACCACTATCCAGAAACAAGACTAGACACAGGCAGTTCCCCTCAGGATACAATGAACATAGGTCATAATTAACCTCTTAATGGTGATTCTCCCAATGGAGTCTAGACTCACAAGTTGGAGACTCTGAATAACTGGTATAGAATTACTGGAGTCCCAGTAAAACTGAATCAAGACTTTTTCAGCCTATTCACCTTCCCTCAGGTATCACTGAGTATTGGGGTCTTTTGACAGGTTTCTAGCACAAAATTTTGCCTGGTATCTGGTAGGGGCTGGGGATTGCCCCGCTTTCTAAATTTTGTGGGTGTCGGGCCATGCTGTGATAATTTTAGATGTCTTGTTAACTATTTAGATTCTTGTTGTTGTTGTTTTAAGTGAGGCTTATAAGAGACCTGGCATTGAACTTGGATAGCACAGAGTTAGAAGGCAGGCACATTTGGCTCTCACACCAAGTTATGTTCTCCAACGCTCCATCAGTATTAACTAAGCTGACATTTGGTCTCCATTCTGCCTGCCATTCCTTTATTTCTGTTGGTTCTGAGCCGAAGTTCAGAAAAAGGTTGTTATTTATTGGGTCTTCCCCTAAAATCACATCTGCCCATAGTTTCATTATATAGGCTTGTTGTTGAGGATGGTCAAAACAATTATAAAATACAGAACTAAAGCCTTCTACGGTATGTGTAAGACAGAGAAACAGAGAAGACAGACAGAAACTTGGTCTAAAAATCGACAAAGTCCCTATAGTCCAAAGGTATGTTAATGAAGATAAAGGTAGAAAACAAAACTGGACATGGTGCATTTGGAAAATAATACTAAATCAGATGTCTGGTCAGTGGCACATGATGAGTTTACTCTCATCCCGTCAAGACAGAAATGGACATGTGCGTTCACCAACCAGACAGGTGACAAATGGACTTTCTTAAAGACACCAGTGGAAACAAGCTGCCAGGACCACAGAACCTCCTTCCAACATTCCAGGAGTGCAACACCTGTATATGCAAGCACCAAAATCAGTTTAAAAAAAATTTATATTGATGACAGCTATCATTTTCACTCTTCTCAAGTTCAGTGATTCCAAGAAAAAATTTTATCACCCTCATTCAACCTGCCACACTGTCCCCTCTCCATAGCCACTGTCATCACCCTCTCAATACACTAGACTAAACACCAGTAAAACCCTCAGTTCTCATCTTCTCACCCTGGACTGCTTCAACAGACTCCAGGGTAACCCACTCCCACTTCCTTAGCGACATGTTCAAGGCCGTTACGACTAGTTTCCCTCATGCCCAGTGTACACCTGGAATCCAGCCAAGAATCCTCCCTCACCAACCCCATATTAGCTCTGCTCCTTCGTGACTACGTATAGCTCAGAAATCAAGACTTTCAATGGCTGAGCACAGAAGTTCTTCGCCCTCAGCGTACCTCCAACAAATACTGGGCACCAACCAGGCACTACCCTAGACAAAACATATAAGAGAGAACCTAGTCAGACAAGGTCCACTCCGGTGGCCCCAAGGGAGGGCGCTGCCCACTGCCAGGCTGGCACCCTGAAACGCCCATCCTGTCCTCTAGGTGTCCTGCCTCTGGCCCTCCCTCCCGCCTGAGGGCGCCCAAGCTGGGCTCGGAGGAGCAGTTTCCGCCCGAGACGGCTTCATCCTCTCGTCCAGTCCGGGGCAAGCGCCGGAGAGGTACAAGGGCCGCCACCAGGTCGGCCCTTCTCCTGCCAGCTGCGCCCGCCTCCGGCCCTGGCCAATCCGACTGCGTGCTCGCCCTCCAAGACTCACACGTCACCTCATTCCGCTTCCGGCAAGGCCCGCAGCCTCACGGCAAGGACCCAAGGAGAGCTGCCCGGCGCACCGCCTGAAGGACCCCGCTTGGGCCGCACAGGCTAGCTATCACGGTGCCTGGTGGCTGGGCGGCGCAGCGGGAGGACCAGGTGAATCCGGCCCCGAACTCTAGCAGGACTGGGGCTCTGAATAGCCCAGAATCTGGAGTGGGCTTAGGCCCCGGTACAGGGGCAAGGGTCGCGCGGCTGTAGGCCTGGAAAAACGGAGGGGCAGCGAGGAAGAGGACGGTGTCAAGAGCAGAGGGTGTGAACCCGGGGGACTAGAGGGCGGGGCCTCAGGTGTGGGGGCGGGGGGGTGGAGGCGGAGTTGAGACGCTGCAGGTCCCCGCCGGGCCTGGGAGGACTAGAAGCTTGACCTTCGGCTTCCTGGAAGCAGAGGAAGTGGCGCCTTAGGTGTGGGGGCAAATGTCCAGGCAACTTCTAAAATTTGTAATTCTCTGATGGAGTGACCTTTAAGTTGAGCAAGTTACTCAACCTGTCAACATCTGTTGTAAACCAAGACCAAGACAGCCATAACTTAGCTGGCATTAGGAAAGGAACCACGTCCTCTCCTAGAGAGCCCCTAGTAGCCTGGCCTTGGAATAGCTGGATCAGGTTCGTTCATTAACTCATTCAGTTAGCTACGTGCTAGGCACTCTGCACAGAATACTAAGGCTAGGATGGTGAGCAAAACAGATCCCAGCTTTCGTAGAGCTAACCTTCTAGTGGGGAAGATGTACCTGAAGAAAACATACAAGAAGCCATGAGAAATAACAGGGGAAGTGAGCTAAGACCTAGTGGGTGAGTAGGAGGTAACCAGAGGAAGCACATCTGGACTGATAAAAATTCTCAGGCAAAGGCTGTCAGGCCAGAAAATCTGGAGCTATAAGGCCCATGAGGCTAGAGCAAAAGAAAGTTAAGGAGTGTGGGGTTCCAGATGAGTCTAGAGAGGTACACAGGGATCAGATCATGTGAAGCCTAGTAGGCCACGATAAGGATTTGGGGTTTTATCATAAAAGCAGGGTACACTTTAAAGGGTTAAGGAGGAGAATGATATTAGATTTGCATTTTTAGTTCACTCTGGCTGCTGTGTGGAGAACAGACTGTAGAGGGTGGCAAGAGTAGAAACTGGGAGACCATTGAGGAAGCTGTTGCAGAAGTTCAGGGAGGATGTCTTGGACTGGAGTGGTGGCAGTTGAGAGGGAGAGAACTGTATGGATTTGAGAGAGATTGGTTAGGTAACATTGCCAGAACTTGGTGGTATGGAGGGTGAGGGAGGGGAGATGTCAAGGATGTCTCTCCCTAGATATATGGTGAAGATTCCGCTCACTTTTGGATTATTCACCACCTGGGATATTAGGGAGAGTAGGTTGGCTGATCTTGTACTGGTTAGACTGGGCTTAGCTTTGTGGTTTGAGTGGAGTATCAAGCTGAAAGCTGTAGAAAGGACATGGGTAGATGAGATGTTGGCATAGTTTTTTTTGTTTGGGCCAGACCCTAGCACTGCCTTTAATGTGATTGTTAGGCTACTTTTGGGCTAAGAGAGATGAGAGTGTTGTCCAGACTCAATCCCTGTGTGTGTTCAGGGAAGCCTTCTCTGTATTTGTTGGCAAATTTAGGGGTTCCACCAGATAATCTTTTGAGACCTAGTACTTAGTCCTGCAGAGATGATCAATTTCTCACATGTAAATAGAATTTTACAGTTGAAAGAGACCTCAAATACTCTTAGTCCAGTTTATAAAATATTTTCTGTTCTTTATATCATTTCCACAATTATTTATTGAGCTCGTACACCATGCTAGACACTAGAAATACAAAGATGAATGGAATAAGACTATATAGGTTTGGAGCTGGCCCTGTGGCCTAGGGGTTAAGTTCGTATGCTCTGCTTCAGCGGCCCGGGTTTGCAGGTTCAGATCCCAGGTGCAGACCTACACCACTTGTCAGCCATGCTGTGGCAGCAACCCACAAACAAAATAGAGGAAGATTGGCAACAGATGTTAGTTCAGGGCGAATCTTCCTCAGCAAAAAAAACCAAAAAACAAAAATGAAATAAGAAAAAGACTATATAGGTTCATTTAGTCAATAAAATTGACCAAGCACCTTTGTGCCAGGCACTGTTTCAGCTGCTTCAGATACAAAATGGTTACAACTAGTCCTTGGCCTTGGAGTTGAGTGTCTGCAAGCCTTGCATTGAGGACAGCTGAGTGTTTTTTGGGCAGGGAGATCCTGTCCTATCTGTAAGATTAGATAAGAGATGGTATATATCCCGCAGACTTTTTTTGGTATCTTGGCAGCATCCCAGTTCTTGTCTATTCAGTCTTCTAATTCTAGAATTGATGGGAGAGCACTATGGGATAGAGGATGAGTGGAAACAGTTATTGTACCCTTATGGCCAGGCTGTTTAGGAATATAAATTGTAAATCCTCTGTAAAACACAAAGGAAAGTTAGGAAGGGAAGGGAATGTTGGCAGAGACAGGTAGTGTTTAAACTTGAATTTCTCCTGAATAGGTAACTCCTTTGTAGGCTTATAGTCGCACAAACAAGATTATGTATATTACACGGCAACTTCAGTGCCCACTCTACCAACCCCTTCCCTCAATCTCATGAGCCCCAATGGGCAATTAAATACAAATAATGTATACAGCCTTACTAGGTAACCTTCAAGTTTTATGAGTGTCAGGAGTGAGAGCACCGGTTGGCGTGCAAGGCTGCATGGCTCCAGAGTAGGAAGGGTGGGGAGTGCAGCACTGATGGGTCCCTAATCCAACTCTCTGATGGCAGGAGTGAGATGACTTCTATCTTGCGAAGCCCTCAGGCTCTCCAGCTCACTCTGGCCCTGATCAAGCCTGATGCAGTTGCTCACCCACTGATTCTGGAGGTAAGAACAAATCCTAAGCCTCTGCTGTATGCCCAGGGCATTGCTTCTGTTTCAGGTTCCATAGAGCCACTTGTGAAGAGTGACAACACAGTCCTGTGCTAGCTGCTGTGGAGGCAAAGCTAGGAGCCCTGGACTCTGACCCTAAGGAGACTAAAAATGTATTGGAGAATTGGGCCAGGTATAAAATATAAGAAAGGATCCTATACAATAACAATAAGAACCAAACTTTAATACAATGTATATATATTAGTTTTCTATTGCTACTTAACAAATTACCACAAACTTAGCAGCTTAAAACAACACTCATTTATTATCTTACAATTCTAGAATTTAGAGGTCCAGTAGGCTTGGCTGGGTTCTCTCCTTAGGGTCTCACAAGGCCAAAGTCAAGGTATCAGCTGATTGGGCCCTTATCTGGAGGGTCTGGGGAAGAAGACACTTCCCAACTCATTCAGGTTGTTAGCAGGTTCCTGTGCTTATAGGACTGAGGTCCCCATATCCTTGCTGGCCTTCAGGCAAGGACTGCTCTCAGTTTTTAGAGACCACTCACATTCCTTATCCCATAGCCCACTCCATCTTCAAGACAGCAACAGTGCGTCGAATGCCTCTCATGCTTTAAATCTCTCTGACCTCTCCTTTAGCCCCCAGCCAGATAAAACTCTGCTTATAAAGAGCTCATGTGATTAATTAGGCCCCTCTGGATAATCTCCCTTTTGATTAAAGCAAAGTCAACTGCCAGTAACCTTAATTACACCTGCAAAATCCCTTTTGCTATGTAATGTAACATAATCATGTTGCATCATATTCACAGTCTTGGAGATCTGGATGCAGAATCTTGGTGGGGCTGGGTGAGGGTCATTTGAGGATTCTGCCTACAATAGTTTGATAAGTGCTAGCTGAGCAGCACTGTTCAGTAAGCCTACTGCGGTGCAGAGGAAAACCAGAGCAGCCAGGAGTGGTGGCCTGCAAGTGCTAGGACTTGGCCAGGCCTCAGAGGAAGGGTGGACTTCAGTTTGTGCACAGGAGGAGGGCAGGTGTTCCATAGAAGGGAGATGCTGAGGCAGGAATGTGTGTGGTGGGTCTGAGTGCCACAGGCGGGCTGGGTTGATGGGACTAGAGAATGGGAAATGGTGGAGGGCAAGGAAACTGCAGCCTTGAGCAGTGGGCTAAAGTGGTTGTACTTCATTCCATGAATAATAGGAACCACTCAAAAGCTTCTAACCAGAGTGGGACATATAAATTATGGTATTTTTAATCTATCGAGTGTGATGGTTTGGAGAGAGAAAAACTCAAGGCAAAACCACTATCAAGAGACTTTTATGATGGTCTTAGTGTGGGTCCTGTGGGCTTAAGCTCAAAGGGCTGTAGGAATGGAGGGGCAGAGATAGCACTTCCTGCCCCCCTCCACCTGAGGCTCACGCTCTGGCTATGTGACTGAAGGTCTTTACCTCACCTCACCTTCTTTCTCTTCTGACCCACCAACAGGACAGACCCGCAAGTCCTGGACTCTAGCGGGTCTTCATGGTTCTTTTGGTCAGCCTCAGATGGTCCCTTTGACTGATTTTTATCTTTGGGGTGGTATTTATCCAGGCTGTTCATCAGCAGATTCTGAGCAACAAGTTCCTTATTGTACGAATGAGAGAACTTCTGTGGAGAAAAGAAGATTGCCAGAAGTTTTACCAAGAGCATGAAGGTAGGATCAACAGTCCTCTGATTGGGAAGCATCTCTATGCCAAGAGGCGTGCAAGAGAGATTTTACCTGGATACACAATGGCAGGCTCTCTCTGACCTACCAACTGTAAAATTGCAGCCAGCCTTCTAAAGTCTTGGTTTATACACAGACTTTTCATGATTATCAATCTTTTTTAATATTTTTTCTAGGAGGATTCCACCTCAGAGTCCCAACCAGAAACTTAGTTTTATGTCCTGATAATATCAGTAGTTAACAATTAGTGAATGTTTACACTGTCAGAAATTGGCCTAATGCTCATGATTTCCTTTAATTCTGCCAACAGCCCTGGTGAGGTAGGTATTGTTGTATCCTCAGTACACAGATTAGGGAACTGAGTTAGGGAAGATAATGACTTACCTGAAACTGCACAGTTGTAAGTGGCAGAGCCTGGATTCTGACTCAAGAATGTCAGATTCCAAGGTCCTTGTTCTTTTCTCTAAAACGGTTTTTATTATTCCAAGTAAGAAGGCAGACGTACAAAAAGTTCTCTTGGGCGCCAGTGTCTTGATGAAGGTACTCTCTCTTTGCAGGGCGTTTTTTCTATCAGCGGCTGGTGGAGTTCATGGCCAGGTACTTCCAAATTTGGTTCTGGCATCTTTATCCACTGAGACATAGCTCTCCTGCCCCCTGAATAGATTTGTTAATTTCATTTGCCACTTTTTAAAGTGGTAATCAGTGTCAGGTGGCTGAAGAAACATGGACTTGGGGCTCTGACTGATCCAACACTGACCTGGTGGCCACCTGTCACTGGTCCAGTGGTTACTGGACCAGTGGCTGTAGAAGAGTAGTATTGAATGCTACCTAGCAACTCTGCTGATCTCTGTGGCCTTTCTTGTACATCAGCAGTGGCCCTTTATCACCTTCTATTTGAAGCAGCATTGGTACCTAGCTATAAAGGCAAGGAAACTCTCAGGATATACAGTGTGCTTTTATTTGTGCCCTGCTCACAGTGTACCCTCCTAGACCAGATAGCCAGATTGCTGATATGTCCTCCTTCTGTTCACAGTGGGCCAATCCGAGCCTACATCCTCGCCCACAAGGATGCCATCCAGTTCTGGAGGACGCTGATGGGACCCACCAGAGTGTTTCGAGCACGCTACGTGGCCCCAGATTCAATTCGGGGGAGTTTTGGCCTCACTGACACCCGCAACACAACCCATGGCTCCGGTGAGTCTGCCTCCCATGTCAGCCACAAATAAGGGAGCATGGTTTGGGGTTGGTGGGCAGGCCATATGGTAGGGTTGAGAACCAGGTCCCCCCAGTGAGCTTTCTTCCCAGTTGTGTTTGTGGCCCTTTGTGGCCTTCTCAGTAGATGTGGCCCCAGGACTGAGGGGCAGGCAGAAGTAGAGGCTCAGGTTTCTGAACCCGATTATGACTGTCTCTTGCCTCCATCCTGTGCTCTCTACGAGAACCCCTTCTCTTTCTTACCTCTCCTTACAGACTCTGTGGTTTCAGCCAGTAGAGAGATTGCAGCCTTCTTCCCTGACTTCAGTGAACAGCGCTGGTATGAGGAAGAGGAGCCCCAGTTGCGCTATGGCCCTGTGTGCTATAGTCCAGAGGGAGGCATCCACTATGCAGCCGGAACAGGAGGCCTGGGACCAGCCTGATTCAGGCCTGTTGGTCTGTGAAGACTGGTGGCATTGCCCAACCTTTTCTCGTAGACCTCTGGTCCAGGGTATTCTCCTAGGACCAGGGAGGCCTTGGGCTCATGGTGCCATCTCTACTGGGCAATGCCACCTGCCTGAGGGCCTAGCTCCTGATTGCCACCTCCTCTAGAATCTAGCTCTGTCTGCCTCTTCTCTGAATGTTCTTGAGTGGTTCAGAGGAATGATGGCTCCTCTTTTTTCTGAGAACTATGCATCTTTTTTCAAGGAGGAGCTTGCCTAATTGGCTTGCCTGAAAAATGCAGTGACTGTGTATAAGCAACATTTGGCCTATCTTCTTCAATAAAAGTCAGTGTTCTACTGAATTATCAAGGCTGGGAGCACTGCTCTAGGTGCTTTCTCTCTATCCTTAACTGGAGTAATTAAACCTGTCCTGAAGGTAAGTTTCTGGTCTCTGCTAACTGAAGAGAGAATTGTGTAGAAATCTCCCAGGAGGTTCACACACACAGTGTGCAGCTTATGTAACCCAGCGACGGAGCTGAGTGTCGGCTTAAATCCATGCTGTGCACCTGGCACAGGGCTGCATTCTGGAGGAAGGGTCATCTTTTATTTGAACAAAAGTGTGTTTGCCCATTGAGGCATGTTTTTATGACTCACTTTTTTTCTGATTTGCACAAAGCCACTAAAGGTAGCCATGTCTCTGTTGTACCTGAGGATGACAGTTATCTATTGCTGCATTATGAATCACCTCAAAATTTAGTGGCTTAAAACAATAATGATTTATTCTTATGTGTCTGTGAATTGGTTGGGTAATTCTGTTGGTCTCACTTGGACTTATTCATGTGGCGGCATTCAGCAGGTGAATCCAACATGGTCTTTCATCCTAAGCTTCTTTATAGCACAGTTGTTCCAGGGTTCCAAGAGGGCAGGCCCCATTCACAAACTTATCAAGCTTCTGTGTTATGTTTGCCAATATCCCATTGGCCAAAGCAAGTCACATGGCTAAGCCCAGAGTCCAGGTGGGAAGGGACTGCATAAGGGCATGGATACCGGGAGGTGTGAATCACTGGGGGCCAGTACCATGACAATCTACCACACTGGGAGTAGTGGGGAGCCTTGAATTTATATAGAATTTATGAAAACAAATATTTGCACAGTCCAACAAAGGAGATGAATAAATAGCCAGAAAAGGAAGGAAAAAACCAAGGGTGTGTGGATCAGGAAAGTCAAGAGAAGGGTGTTTCTGGAGAATGAAGCAATGTTGAATGCTGTTGAGAAGTCCAGAATGATGAAGCCTTTAAAGTACTCCCTAAATGTGGCAGCATGGAGGTCACTGTGACCTGGGCAAGAGCAGCACCTGTGGAGTGGTAGAGAGGTTACCTTGTATGGAAGTTAGCGGGCTGAAGCATTTATACTGTCATACTACCTTTGGGTTTAGAGTGAGATGTCTAGGAGTCTTGGAGAATCTTCTTACATCTGAATCTATAAAGGTATCTGCATATGCTCCCATCTTCTCATATCCTCCTGTTACAACATAGGAAGAGTCCTGCTTCCCATCCAGCCACTCCTTCCATGTGTGCTCTGAATCCCATCTCCTTGCTGTTTTGGTTATCTAGTCTCTACTGCACTTTTACCTTTCTCCACTGAGTCCTTCTGCTTTGAATTCAAACATGTTTTGGCGTCTCCCCTCTTTCAAAATCCTTTTAATCCCTTTTCCCCCTTCAGCAACCTCTGTTTCTTCATCTCCGCACAGCCAAACCCACATCGGTTGTCTACACTGACAGGCTCATCCCCATTTTGTCAACAGCCCACTCCAATGTGGCTTGCCCACTTACTCCAGAGGAGACTGGTTTCTTCATGCCTTTGTCACTGTTGCCCAGCACAGTGCCAGACATGTATCATTGCTTTGTAAATAGTAATGGACCATCCATACTCTGGTCTTTGACATCACTTAGAATACCTCCATCTCTAAATTCTTTAAGTCCTACTTTTAAATCATAGTCTTCTGCATCCCTCTCTCATGTTTCCAAACCTAGACCATTCACTCATCTACTCTCCTAGGTAACTTTTTCATATATTCTTTCATATATTCTATTCATATTTCATATATTCTTCTCTCTCTTCAAACCTCCAACACTTCTTTCTCCTTCCTCACTCTCCAGCTTTTGACCTTGCTGCTGCTTTCTTCTATTGGAAGATAATGGAAACAGCCAGAAGAGAAACTCCTCAGACTCTCAAGACCACGCTGAGCACCTACCTGCATCTATGCTTAGGTACTCTGCTTCCCTCCTGTTAGGATGAACAATGGATAAACCTTGCAAGCTCCTATTTAAAGCCACTGCCTTTTTGTCCTGTCTCCTCCCACCTACTCAAGGTATTGCTCTAGCAATTTTTCCTATCTCTCCTGCATCATCAAGAGATAGATCTTACAAACATGCTGTAGTTTCTCTCATTTAAAAAAAACAAAAGCAGGGGCCAGCCCGGTGGCATAGTGGTTAAGTTCGCGTGCTCCACTTCGGCAGCCTGGGGTTTGCGGGTTCAGATCCTGGGCATGGACCTACATCACTCATCAAGCCATGCTGTGGTGGCATGCTACATACAAAGTAGAGGAGGATGGGCACAGATGTTTGCTCAGGGTCACTCTTCCTCAAGCAAAAAGAGGAGGATTGGCAATGGATGTTAGGGCCAATCTTCCTCACCAAAAATAAAATAAAAGCAAATCTTTCTTGACGCCACATCTCCTTCTTTTGCCACTATCCCATTTCTTTACTCACCTTTACAGCAAAACTCTCAAAAGAGTAGCCTAGAATAGCAGTGACCAGTGACTTCCAGTCTAGACAAAATGGTGTAGACCCATTTATCTCTGCTCCTCCCTGCTGAGTACAACTATAAACCTGAAAATAACGAAGAGACAGTCAAAGAGAACTCTAAAAGGTTCTCTGAAGGAGAATATGACTGGAGGAACAACACAGCAGCAGGGCATCTTAGGTCTTCCCACACAACAGAACAAGGCAATTCAGACTAGGTATTTCCCAAACCCTAACCCAGCAACAGATGGCAGCCCATCTGGCTTATTCCTTCCCCCAAAGGAACAGACTAAACAGAAAGTACAGCTGAAAACATCAGGTAAACTGACAAGGGAGATTGATCAGGAGACTTAGCTATCAATAGACAGCCAGAAGCACTCTCCTTCCCAGCCAGGTCTGAGGCTCCCCTCCCCCATGGAGAGATACTAAGGTGGTAGGGTAGCACCCACAAGAGAGACCAAAACTAGCACCCCAGGTCCAAGTTCTGTGACCCAGGTTCGACATCCAGGTCAAAGTCAAAGGTATAGTTCCAAGATCCAAGTCAATCCATGTCTCAGTTCAATGCCCAGGGCAATTGAGTTCCAAACCAAGGTTCCAGACCAAGATCCAGGGTCCCCATTCTAGGTCTAGAATTCAGGTCCAGATCAACATTTCAGATCCAAGGTCATGTCCAGGTGTAGGTCTGATGTCTAGGTCCAAGGTTCTAATATGAGGTCTAAGTCTGAGGTTAGAGGTTGAAGTCCCAGTAACAGGTCCAACGTCTGGGTCCATCACCAAGGACCAGGTCTAAGATCAGGTCCAATGTCATAGAGAAATGGAGTTCCACAGTTGAGATTTGATGTTCAAGTCCAGGGTCCAATTCTATGTCCAAGACCAAGGACCAGTTTGAGATCTAAGGGCCAGGTCCAAGATCTAGGCCCAGGTCTGAGGTTCTAGGTTCAAGGTTCAGGTCCAAAGTTTGGGAATAAGTCTCTAGGTCTACTTCCAATGTTCAGGTCAAGGTCTAGGCCTAAGATCCATGTCCATTTCTAAAGCCGAAGTCCAGCATAAGTATCCAAGATCAAATGCAGATCCACATCCTAGGTTCAAGTCCAAAGTGCAGATCCAAGTTTAGAATGTTCAATGTCCAAGTCTGAGGTCCAAGATATAGTTCTAATGTCAAAGTCCAAGTCCATGTCCAAGGACCAGGTTTAATATCAGGACTAACTTACAGGCCAATTCCACAACCAGTGTCTACAAGGTTCGGGAGCAGGTCAGTGTTCAGTTCCAAAGACTAAGATCCAGATCCAAGTCCAGGTCCAACATCTATGTTCATATTTGAGGCTCAGGTCCAATATCAATGTTGAATGTCAATTCTAGGTCTAGGTTCACAGTCTAAATTCAAGGCCCATGTTCAAGGTTGAGGTACACTCAACCACTTCCAAAGTCCAGGTTCAGGTCAAGACCCAAAGTCTGGATCCAAAGTCAGGTCCAGTGCACAGGTCCAATGTCCAATTGTAGGTCCACTTTCCAGGTCTAAGGTGAGTCCAAGGCCCAAATTACATCCATGTCTGAAGTTCACCGGTTTAATATCCAGTACCAGGTCGAGTTCCAGGTCCAAGATCTAGATCCAGGTTCTAGTTCCAGGGTCATATATAAGCCATTCTGAGTTATAGGATCAAGGTCCAGAAATGAAGGTCAGCTCACAGGTCTGATATTCACATCTGAGATCCAAATCCAGGACTGAAGCCTAGGTCTAAGAAATACATCCAGGTCTGAGGTCTAGGATCAAAGTCAAATTCCATTACCAAAACTCACAAGTAAAGTTCAAAATCTTGTTCCTAGATCCAGGTCCAGGTAAAAGATGCAAATCTAGGTACAACTTCCATATTTAAGGTGAGATCCATTGTCCAAGAAAAAGCAAGGTTTGAGATCCAAGTCAAAGATCTGGGTAGAGGTTCAGTTGGCAGATATAAGGTCAAGTACAAGAACCACAGGTCACCACCAGGTTTAAATTTCAGATCCGAGGTCCAAGATATAGTTCCAAGAACCAAGTTCTGGTCCATGTCCAATGACCAAGTCTAATCTCAAGTATATGTTCCAGGTAAAATCAAAGCCTTAGTTCTAGGTTCAACATCAAAAACCAGGTCCAAATGCATATCCAAAGAATAGGTCCAAAGTCATGGACAAATTCTGGTCTAAGGTCCAGGTCCAAAGTCCATGTCCATTTACAATGTCCAGATCATGGTCCTAAGTCCAAGATACAGAGTGAAGTCTGAGTCCCAGGTCCAAGGCTGAAGCATGGGTCAGATGAATGACCAAGATCCAGGTCTAATGTCAGTTCCAAAACTTTGAACAGGTCTGAGGTTGAGTTCCAAGTTTCAGGTTTAAAGTCCATGTCCACAAACAAGGTCCAGGTCTAATGTCCAAGTCAAAAACCCAGGTTCAGGTACAAATTCCAGCTAAAGGTTACAACCAAGAATCTTGGATAATCTAGGTCCAAGGTTCAGGTCCAATGTCCATGTGCGTATCTGAGGTTCATGTCTAAGGTTGATGTCCAGTGAAAGGCTCAAGT